CACTAAGAAAAAAACCAAACAACCCAGTAGAAGAAAAATGGTAAGAGACTTAACAGGCTCTTTATGAAAGAGGATATGCAAGTGGTTAACGTTCTTATGTAAAGTGCCTTCTATACTTATCCAAGAATCGCTAATAGCTGCATCCACTAGAATGGCTAAAATTAAAGTGCCTGGCAATGCCAAAGTCTAACAAGGATATGAAGGAACTCAAATTCTCATTCATCATTTGTTGTAGTATAAATTGGCATAACTGGCCAGTGGCTGTGGCTCATGCCTGTAATCCCAGCACTTTGGGAGGCTGAGGTGGGAGGATCACTTGAGATCAGGAGTTTGAGTCCTGTCTAGACAACATGGCAAAACCCTGTCTCTATGAAAATACAAAAAATTAGCTTGGAATAGTGGTGTGTGCCTGGAGCCCAGCTACTTGGGGGGCTGAGGTGGGGGGACCGCCTGCGCTTGGAGGTCAAGGCTGCAGTGAGTTGAGATAGTGTCACTGTGCTCCAGCCTGAGTGATAAAGTGAGACCATGTCTCAAAACAAAACAAAATGAACCCATACATTAAATTCTGGCTATATACAATAATGAGTAAATTTCACAATGTTTGGTTTTTTAAAAAAGCAAGACAACAGTGGCCAGGCACAGTGGCTCATGCCTGTATTCCCAGCATTTTGGGAGGCCAAGGTGGGTAGATCACCTGAGGTCAGGAGTTTGAGGCCAGCCTGGCCAACATGGAGAAACCCTATCTCTATTAAAATTTAAAAATTAGCTGCTGGTGGTGGCGAAAACCTGCAATCCTAGCTACTTGGGAGGCTGAGGCAGGAGAATCACTTGAACCTGGGAGGTGGAGGTTGCAGTGAGCCAACATCAGAGCATGGCACTCCAGCCTGGGCGACAGGAGTGAAACTCCATTTCAAAAAAAAAAAAAAAAAAAAGCAAGGCAATAAAGCATATATACAAATTACTTTGTGGAAAATGGCAGGGCAGGATACTCAAATAATCTCTCTAATGAAACAGCCATTAAGCTGGAAATAACTGACAGAAACCACTTTTTTGAAACTGGAATCTAACAAGAAATTTATAGAAACCAGAGGAATGCTTAATGAAGAAGGCAGCTGAAGTTTGATAAGAAAGCATTGTGTTGTTTTTGCCCATCTGCCTACATCTCCCATTTCCCAGGACAGTGGTGTGGTGGGGACAGTAGCCAGTGTTCCTGATGCAGTGTGTTGGTGTCCAGGGCTGAATGCAGACTTTGCTCTCAAAATAATGTGGTTGTATTTGTATTTGACCTATCTGATAGTTCCCTGAGTGACTGGTACAGGGGCTGATGTTTCTTTTTATCCTGCCCACCACACACTGGAGTGCTTTTCTGGGCAATAGCAGCATTTGTTGAAAGGTTTAAAGACATATACTACTGACAGCCACCTAGGGCAGTAGATAGGGTGAGCATCGGACAGACCCAAAAGACTGGAAAGGAAGAGGCTGAGGAGGAAGTTTCTCGGGAGCAAAAGGTTTTGAAAAAACTATCATGTGTAATTGGGGATTCTAGACTGAATCTTGTATTCGTAAGGCTGGGTGAATGTACAGAAAAGACCTGAGAGGATTCTATGTTTGTATGTAGCCTCCATGTAAGCAATAGCTGAAGTGAAAAATGCACTAGAGCGTTTCAATAGCAGATTTGAACAGGCAGAATAAATAGCCAACTTGAAGATAGGACAACTGGAATTATCCAGTCAGAAGAGCAGAAAGAAAAAGAATGAAGAGAAATTAACAGAGGTGAAAGGACTTTGAGGACACCATCAAGTGTACCAATATATGAATTATACAATTTTTAGAAGAGAGAGAAAATGGGGGAAAATGGATATTTGAATAATGCCCCCAAACTTCACAAACTTGGTGAAAAAAATGAACCTATACATCTAAGAAGCTCAACAAACTGTAAGTAGGATCAACTCAGATCTACACCAGGATATAGTCAAACTGTTGAATGCCTAAGACAGAAGTGAAACTCTTGTCTAGCAAAAGGGAAGCACCTAGTCACTTTGAGGGGATTGTTAATAGATTAACACCCTGTTTCTCATCAGAAACCATGGATGCTAGAAGGCAGTGGAGTGACATATTGAAAATGTTGAAAGACAACTATCAACTGAGAGTTCTATATCCTGAAAAACTACTCCTCAAAAATGAAAGAGAAATTAAGAAATTCCCAGATGAAAGCTGAGAAATTTTGTTGCTAGCAGGCCTGCCCCGTAAGAAGTGCTTGAGAGAGTTCTTCAGGCTGAAATGAAAGGATGCTGGACAGTGACTGGAAGTGATACTAAAAAATAAAGAACTCTGGTAAGGTAAACATGTAGGTAAATAAAAAAGACAGTATCATTGTAGTTCGAATTTATAATTCTTTGTGGTTGGTATCAGTGACTCATGCCTGTAATCTTAGCACTTTGTGGGGCCAAGGTGGGTGGATTGCTTGAGCTCAGGAGGTCAAGACCAGCCTGGGCAACAAAGTGAGACCCCGTCTCTACAAAAATTACAAAAATTAGCCAGGAGTGGTGGCACATGCCTGTGGTTCTGGCTACTCAGGAGGCTGAGGTAGGAGGATGGCTTGAGCCTGGCAGGCAGAGGTTGCAGTGAGCCAAGATAGTACCACCACACTCCAGCCGGGGTGACAGAGCCAGACCCTGTCTCAAAAACAACAGCAGCAAATATATACTTTTTTGTTTTCAATATAATTTAGAGGTAAATGCATAAAACAAACGTATGTCAAGGAACTCACAGTGTATAATTATGTAATTTGTGATAATAGCAAAATGAAAAGAAGGCAGGTCTGTATAGAGGCAGAGTTTTTGTTTGTTATTGAAGCTAGGTTGGTAACCATTCAAAGTAGATGTTATAAATTTAGGATATCAAGAGTAGTAACTGCTAAGAACATAACTAAAAATACATAGAAAACAAGGACCGGGCACAGTGGCTCGCACCTGTAATCCCAGCACTTTAGGAGGCAGAGGCAGGCAGATCACTTGAGATCAGGAGTTTGAGACCTGCCTGGCCAACATGGTGAAACCCTGTATCTACTAAAAATATAAAAATTAGCTGGGTGTAGTGGCATGTGCCTGTAGTCCCAGCTACTCAGGAGGCTGAGGCAGGATAATCCTCTGAACCTAGGAGATGGAGTTTGCAGTGAGCCAAGATCATGCCTCTGCACTCCAGCCTGGGTGACAGAGCGAGATTTTGTCTCAGAAAGAAAAAAAAAAAAAAAAAAAAAGGAAAGAAAATGGTTCACTAGGAAAAAAAAAAAAATCAAACTCTTAAGTTTTCCGGAGCTTGTTGAGAACTGAGTATGGTGTAGTACTGACCCAGATGATCTCGCACTGTTTGATGATCAATACCTAGGAGAGACTGATCAGTTACATTCTGTAACCAATGTAAAAGTGTTTTCTAAGTAACATTTGCCACCATGCCCTGCTAATTAATTTTTTTGGGGGGAGAGATGGGGTCCAGCTATGTTGCCCAGGCTGGTCTCAAATTCCTGGACTCAAGTGATCTTCCTACCTTGGCCTCCTAAAGAATTGGGATTACAGACATGAGCCAGTGAACCTATCTCTAAGTTTATTTTAAAAAGAAAAAACAGGGCTGGACGCAGTGACTCAAGCCTGTAATCCCAGCACTTTGGGAGGCTGAGGCAGGTGGATCATGAGGTCAAGAGATTGAGACCATCCTGGTCAACATGGTGAAACTCCGTCTCTACTAAAAATACAAAACATTAGCTGGGCATGGTGGTGCGTGCCTGTAATCCCAGCTACTCAGGAGGCTGAGGCAGGAGAATTGCCTGAACCCAGAAGGCGGAGGTTGCGGTGAGCTGAGATGGCGCCATTGCACTCCAGCCTGGGTAACAAGAGCGAAACTCCGTCTCAAAAAAAAAAAAAAAAAAAAAAAAAAAAAAAAGAAAAAACAGGCCAGGCATGGTGGCTCATGCCTGTAATCCCAGCACTTTGGGAGGCCAAGGCAGACGGATCAACTGAGGTCTGGAGTTCACGACCAACCTGGGCAATGTGGTGAAACCCTGTCTTTACTAAACATACAAAAGTTAGCTGGACATAGTGACAGGCACCTGTAATCCCAGTTATCCGGGAGGCTGAGGCAAGGAATTGCTTGAACCCGGGAGGCAGAGGTTGCAGTGAGCTGAAATTGTGCCACTGCACTCCAGCCTGGGCACCAGAGCCAGACTCTATCTCAAAAAAAAAAAAAAAAAAAAAGAAAAGAAAAGAAAGAAAGAAAGAAGAAAAGGAGAAAAATAGAGTATAGCTTCAACCTGTGTATTATATCAAAAGTTTTTCTTATTTAAAGAAGCACTGAGTTGAACTTGCTGTAGTTACTGCAAGCTCAGTACCAGGTAAGGGTTCTGACTGGGTCTTTTCCAGGCCATGAAAATAGCACAAGGGGATAACTTCAATGAATCTGATTGCTACAAATTAATGTTTTGGTTTCTTGATGATTGAAGTCTGTTGAAGAATAGGGGCTTTCCATTTGGGTGGGATCATTTGAATTACAGATTGATATGTTGAGTAGATTTTTAGTTTTCCACTGTAGACACAGTATGGCAACACAAATGCCACGTAGACCTCCAGAAACACAACTGGAATTGAACAAATTGGTGTTCCTCACTGCAATGAGAGAGGACACACACAATTGGACACAGTGAAGTGTCTCTGCAGGAGAATGTCAAAAAGGACTTACGGGATTGGGCTGTGTGTGGTGATTTGGGAAAGGATTCAAGAAAGCAGGACTTTGGTCTGAATTGGATGCTGTCAGGAAGTGGAATTAATTCTATAATTGTGCATCTTATCTAGAAAGTGAGAGGAAGGAAGCCAGGCTAGAGCTTTAATTACTAAAGAATCAGCAGTCACTCATATTAGCTAAGATGGGTGGGGTGTTGGTATTTTGTGGCTTGGACAATGTTCATATTTTGTCTGTGTTCAGACATGATATGGAATAATACTATTTTTTAAAAAATGGAATGTTTCATGAATTTGTGTCATCCTTGCACAGAGGCCACGCCACCCTTCTCTGTATCGTTTCAATTTTAGTGTATGTATTGCTGACAAAAGCATGAGTCAGGAGCTCTCATGGTCACAAAGTGGTCTTTGAGGCTGATGTTTTGTGCAATTGTTTATGTTCAACTGGACAACATCAAGACCTCATTGTGAAGACCAGACAGCTTTTAGCAATGCCATTTTACATTGCTGATTGTACCAGGACAGCTCCTGACCTTCAGGACTGGTTTTCTCTTTCTCAGTTAGCAAGATATTGCTATAAGGAAAGCCCTTATGTTAGGACTAGATTTTGTCACATGAAGCAAACCAACAAACCCAATATAATAGTGGCTCAAACAATAGAGATGTTTTTTCTCTTTCACATAGAAAGTAATTCTGGAGGTAAGTCTTCCATTGCTGCACAGGGACTCTGGCTCCTGCTAGCTCAGTGCTCTGCCTTCCTTAGCTTTTTGTTCCTTGGACTTAAGGCCCAATATGGCTGCCTGAGTTCCAGCCATCACAATAAAATTCCATTCAATCGAAAGAGGAAAGGAAGAAGAAGGTGCCTGACTCACTGTCTGGAGACTTCCTGAAGGTACCATTCAACATAGCTACTTGTATTTTATTTGTCAGCCCTCATGTTTGTGAAATGCTTGAATAACTGGGGTTCTGTTATGAAAAGAAAGGTAATAATTGCTCTTGAGGGGCTACAACCATCTGGAGTTGGGATAATACAACTGCCACATTGAGTTCTGTGAAAGGCAATTCTATTGGCTATTGTTGTATGCAAATATCCCTCTCTTTGGTGAAACAGCAAGCAGCTAATTATGTTAAGGGATGCCTTCTTTTTGGTCTCTTTCTTTTGTAACAATCTCAAGAGTTCAGGTTTCCAAAGTGAACTCTCTTTTTCAGTCTTTTGGAGCTTTGTAGCCTGATGGAAAAGAATGCTGTGATTCAGCTGGCCACGTTGCTAGGCTGCCTGACAATTTACCTCTAGCAGTGGGGAAGAAACGGTTGTGTTGCTGAAAATATTTAACTTAAAAATGGATAAAAATTATTCTTCAAGTTTATTTTTTAATAATTAAATCAATTTGCTTAGAAGAGCTAAAACATTTCTGTGTGTTCCTCATTCTGTTTTTTTTTTTCTTTTTAAAGGAGGTAATAAATAAGGTGAATAAAATTGTAAACAAAAAGTTCATGGTGGTTCTATAACTGCATGCAGACATCTGTGCTGGAAATGTGAGAAAATTGTAAAGAATTTGGAAAGGTTCAAAGGCTCAGGTTATTAAAGTTTTAATAATCTTCTTTTCTGCAGCGCTAACCCCCTGCTATTCTTTCAATGCGGTAGAAAAACAAAATATGGACAAAATTGTAGTTAATTAGAACTGAATCTTCATTGGAAAGCCTATAGAAATCATTTGGGATTTTTATAGAAGCTGAGAGTTGGGAGCCACTAGTCTGAAAACATACAACTTTATTTTCACTTAAAGAATTTGGAGGATATTTGTTAGAGTTTACAAAAATAGGATGTATTTTTTCTTTTTAAAAAACCTGTCAGTTAATTCATATAGTTGATTGCAAAACACTGTTTGCAAGAATTCCCTATGAAAGTAATCTCATTTAGCACTTTAACTTTTTCCCATTGCTCAATCAGAGCAAAATGAAATATTCATATGAACAAAATGGCTATAGTGATATGAAGACGTACAAATGACATATCTTTAATCAATTGTCAAATCTTTTGATAACAGGAACAGCATTCCTTTATACCTGAAATATGTTGAAAAATGATAATAAGTGATTTTTCTTCAGAGTAAAATACAATTTATTTTTGCCATAGACTTGTAACACCAGCATTGTGATTTTTTGGTTTGAAATTGGTTTTCCTTTAAAGGCATCTTAAAAGTATATACCATGCCAGCACAAAATACAGTATGAATTTTAGTATATGTTGTAGAAGCTTATACTTAGTGCATGAAATTTTTATGATTGTGATGGACATACGTATGAAGATATGCATGTAGGAGGTCACATTTGTATATTGAAATACGCAGACACAAAGAATACTTTAAATTGTGTTGAATCGAGGATGGTGAAAGAATTTTACTCAGTAAGCTGCAGCCATGAGCACTGAAATATGGCTTCAGAGAGAAGATGTTTGGAATTGTTCTAATAGGCTAAGTGATTCCAAATGCAAGTCCATATCGCAGACTCCTAGGCTCTTTGTGAGACTAATTGACTTTGCTGTAGAGTTTTGGCAAAGCTCTTATTATTTTTACTACATTTTCCTTTTTAATAATGTAAAATTGAACTAACTTCTAAAATTCAAGTTCCCCTTTATGAGTTTGTTAGCCCTTCCTTCACCAAATTAATGACCAACTGGGCAAGACAGCCAAAAATGTTTTACCACTCTGGGCGTTTGTTAATTGGTTGTTCGTTGGACTATATATGAGGGAAAATTATTGCTACTATAAACCAAAAAGTGTAAAGGAAAAGCAGTGATATAAATATGGAACTGGACTGGGCAGGGAAAGCTAGTGATGTAAAAATTCTGTTTTTCTGTTAGATGGTTCCCCTAGGAAGACTGCAAATACCAAAAATAAAATGCAGCAGACCAAACCATAATGTAGAAGTTCATTTGGATGTCTCCTGGCCAAGAAGATTCATTGTTTTGGTTTGTTTTTAAAGCCCTTATGATAACTGTCTTTTTTTTTTTTTTTTAAATGGGCTCTTAGAACAAATCATAAGTAGTAAAATCTATTTCACCTTGAAAGTTGCTGCAAAAGTAGTTTGATCCTCTGGACTGGGAGAGTGATTAGGAAGAAATAAAAATTCCAAGACTGGAATTTCTAACCCTTCAAGAATGTTAGGTGTACATTAATTCCACTTCTCTAGGCCTGACATTCCTTGGAAATTTCCCTTGGATTATCCTGGGGGAAAACCACAGACACAGAGACAGACCCCCAGCTGACTCTCTCTTTGTCCACTTTTGTCCCCATGCAGGGTTCTCTACTAATTCTCCTTATAAATGCCAATCAGACACTGTTTTAACTCATGTTTTAAGCTGGGGAAGGAATCCAGGGATCTGGCTTATGTTGCAAAGGTTTCCAACAGTATCAGGTAATTCACCACTAGCTGGGCTCCTTTCAGAATGGTAACTGAGACCTGAAAGGCTGCACGACTCATTACCAATTACCAATTCCCTGGGCCATCCGGTTCCCTGGCAGAAAAGCTTCCGATGAATTTGCGTTGCAAATTGAAAACATACTGTCAACAGCAACAAGTCCAGAAGATGTTTACCTTAATTTTTCCAAGGCAGGCTTTTATATGTGGATGTTTTTGTTTAAGGACCAGCATTCTTGATTTCCTGCTGTTTCTGGGGTTGGTGCGTGTTGTTACAAAAGGGTTGTCACAATCTCATGATGGAGAGGAGAAATGAAGTGGCTATGTGAAGACACACTGGCATTCGTGTCTGTGTTCTGTCTGTGCCTTTCCAGTGGAGCCTGAGACATAACTTTGCATGGGGCACAGTTTGGCAGATGTCACAGCTGACACAGAGCCATTCAATTTTCCTAAGCGCTTAGGCACCTGGGGCATGATCCTGTTGAAGGGCTCCTTTTGCAGATAAGTAAAGTGAGGTCCAGATTGACGTGTCACTTCTCCAACGACACCCCCATAGTTAGCATCATGGCTTAGTCTAGCAGTTCACGTTTTCTTGCAAGCCCCATGTTTTTTCATAGGTTTGGTGCTCAGGCTAAATACTTGCTAATGATTGATGTGTATAAAGTAAAGTATTAGAAATTAATTTATATGGCTGGGTGCAGTAGCTCATGTCTGTAATCCCAGCACTTTGGGAGGCCAAGGTGGGTGGATCACTTGAGGTCAAGAGTTCGAGACCAGCCTGGCCAGTGTGGTGAAATCCTATCTCTACTTAAAATACAAAATTTTGCTGGGTGTGATGGCTCATGCCTGAAATCCCAGCTACTTGGGAGGCTGAGGCATGAGATCACGTGAATCCAGGAGGCAGAGATTGCAGTGAGCTGAAATCGCACCTCAGCACTCCAGCCTGAGTGACAGAGCACAGAGGAAAACTCTTTTGCAAAAAAAAGAAAAAAAAAGAAATTAATTTCTAAGTTTCTCTTGAATCTGAGAGCATTGGGATGTAGGGCCTCAAAGGAACAATATTCAGCCCTTTGAACCTTGTTTGCCAAGTAACACCCACCAACTTCTAAAAGTACTGTTGGAGCCTGGGTAACCTGGTGAAACCTCATCTCTACAAAAAATCCAAAAATTAACTAGATGTGGTGGTGCATGCCTGTGTTCCCAGCTACTTGGGAGGCTGAGACTGGAGGATCCTTTGAGCCTGGGAGGTCGAGGTTGCAGTGTGCTGAGATGGTGCCACTGCCTTCCAGCCTGGGTGATGAAGCAACACCCTATCAATCAATAAATAACAGTACTGTTAGGAGTAGCCTATGCGTTTGGCCCCTGTGAAGGCTTGTTTTAATCTGAGGTTAATGTCCTGGTGCTTCTGCTCCATGGGAGGTCTATTCAGGGCCAGCAGGAGCTGGCCTGCAGAAACGTGGAAAACAGAGGCAGTTCTGAGCAAAACCCTGGGGAATGCATGCTGGGAAGCCTCTTTTTTTTTTTTTTTTTTTTTTTAAATGCCTTGCTCTAAATTCTGAGTCTCCCCCTTCACCCATAAATTAAAGTTGAATGTATTTACTTAGATTACATGTCATCAAATCACAAGTCCTGCCCAGAGACCAGGCAAGTATTTGGAGCAAGTCTGAAAAAGAAAGTTAACTCATTGCAAACCCTGGGTGAAAAAAGCCCATGTTCTATGGCTGTCAAGGGGAAGGGAGTATGGCTTTGGCCAGGGCAGAAAGCAGGAGTCCCACTCATGGTAGGCTGGTTTCACAGAGGGCTTTCCAGATCCATGAACCGAGGGAGTTTTGCTAAATGGTTCTGTCAGCCGGGTACGTATGTGATGAAACTCAACATGCTGAGAATATCCAATGAAGTCTGAAAGAAATAAGCAACGTGGAGAATGTTCCCAAAACATAGGAAATGAAAATG